CAAAAAAAAAAAAAATACTCTTGTATGCGTTGACCCATGATAAAGATATCTCAAATTCACAGAAAGACTATCATCTACCTGAATTACAAAACAGTATATATTATATTTACTTAGGTTAGGACGGCTTATCTTTCCGTCGATAAATATTCTACAATTTCTTTTTCTATCTATGGCCATCGCATTCGGCATTCTATCCTAATTGATACAATTTGAAAGTGATAGTTTTTGTTAGTTACCCCTATCCCAAGGTCATACCGGAGTCCTTTCATATATATGGTTACAATATTATAATAAATAAATCCTACAACTATCTTACTATTGCTACTGTGCATTCGTCTTATTCTCTCGAAACTTAGTTTTTTTAATGTTTTATTTCTAACTCGTGTTATCTGCACACATGATTTTTTTTTAATGACTTTTTGATGATACTTTTAACGACTTAACGACACACGCGTACTTCTGCAACCGCGAACGCATTTGTCAAAGAGCTTCTCGCGGGAAACAGAGGAAAATTTAAAAAGAAACAAAGCTTGTAACATTTAAAAGATAGTCAAGCCTAATAGAAAAATCAGATAATAAGTATAATCTCATGAACGATAGATGTGCTAATATCGGTTAATTTTTTGCTATAGTTTGATACCGAATTCAGTGGTTTATTTGTATCTATGATTGGTTAACGTATCAAGTATCGTAGGTATAACTTCATGAAAAGACGCGTTGCGATTGGTTAAAGTCATATTCTGAGTTTATAAGGAGCATGCCATTGGTCAACTCAAAACTGGTCTTAAGGCGTTTGACGAGTATAAAGCCGCGTACAAATGTTAGTTGCGCATTGTACGCTCAACGAAATGGAACATCGTTCGCGCATATAACTTCCAGTCTTTGCTTCCCATTTTGTGGTATTTGCGTTTAGAAGGTGTAGACGTTAAAAAGAAGACTCGCACGTGGCTAGACGATCGTAGAAAGGAAAATACAGAAAATACATATAAAGTGAGTCAATCGTGCGGTGTATATTTCAACTTTAAGACTTGTTCAAAGTACAACGTGTACACGTTATGTTGAGCACGTTCTCTGACATAATCTGGTATGAACTGGATCAAAGCAGAAACGTCGGTAAATGATTGGCCATACGTTTCAGAAGCGAACCTGTGGTGCCCGGTTTTCGGTAGGACAATTTTATTAGGCGGGCACTTTTATTGAACTTCCTTCGATAAAACTTCGAACTTCCATCTATCGAAACATTATTCAGAAGATCTCAGAAGCCGCGACCACGCGACTCTCTACGTACAGCAATGTCTAACGAAGAAACTTCTGCCGACCGCAATGTCGAGATTTGGAAAATAAAGAAACTTATAAAGAGTCTTGAAATGGCTAGAGGGTAAGTAGGTCGACGATAATTTTTCTTTTTTTTTTCCTTTAAATACCCAAACGAATATTTTATTTAATATTCTGGCATATGGTTTAAGTAAAACGTGGTATATACATATATAGAGTGAATTTGATTAAATGTTGAGATACATTATGTTTTTTAGTCTTATGATGTTTTTTTCAGTATAAATATATTTTCTATGATATTAGAAGCTTTATAAATTATTTTTTAATGTTATTGCATATATATATTTTTTGTAATGGTCATAACTCAATGATGAAGCATACTGTTTGATTTCTTTGTCATTGAAATTTGTTTAATAACAAAGAAATTTGTACGTTAGTTTTCCTTTGAATTATTTTATGTGATAACAATAGGATTAATTATTAAAACTATTATTATATTTTTTAATTATTTATCATATAATTTAATAACATAATTATTTTTTTTTAGGAATGGTACTAGTATGATATCATTAATTATACCCCCTAAAGACCAAATATCAAGAGTGAGCAAAATGTTAGCCGATGAATTTGGAACTGCGTCTAATATTAAGTCTCGTGTAAATAGATTATCGGTTTTGGGTGCAATTACATCTGTACAACATAGGTTAAAATTATATACCAAAGGTATAATAATATTTTTAATGATATATATATATATATACAAATTAGAAGTATAGATAATATTAATATTATTTTTAATATTTTTCGAATAATTATATATTTTAGTGCCTCCGAATGGCCTGGTTATATACTGTGGAACTATTGTCACCGAAGAAGGAAAGGAAAAGAAAGTCAACATTGATTTTGAACCTTTCAAACCTATTAATACGTCTTTGTATCTTTGTGATAATAAGGTATATATAATACTATTTTTACAGTTGCATAATAAGTGCCAAGTTTAGTCTATTCAATTGATATGTAATCTTATATATTTGAATAAGTTATATTTTTGTAATATTATGTAAAATATATGAATTTTTTAAAATTATTTTTCAGTTTCACACAGAAGCCCTTACTGCATTGCTAGCCGATGACAATAAATTTGGCTTTATTGTCATGGATGGTAATGGCGCTTTATTTGGTACTTTACAAGGAAATACGCGTGAAGTTTTACATAAATTTACTGTTGACTTACCGAAAAAACATGGCAAGTTTTTTAAAGATTCTTTTTTTTTTCTCTAAAATATGCAATAAATTCAAAATGAATAAATTTATTCTAATAAGTTCACACTCTCAAATGAATGTTATTGTAAATTTGATTTTAGGTAGGGGAGGTCAATCAGCTCTACGTTTTGCTCGGTTACGTATGGAAAAAAGACATAATTATGTCAGAAAGGTTGCTGAAGTTGCTACGCAACTTTACATTACTAATGATAAGCCTAATATTGCTGGATTGATATTAGCAGGAAGTGCCGATTTTAAAACTGAACTTAGTCAATCAGATATGTTTGATCCTGTAGGTTTATCTTTGAAAAATCATTTAAACAAAATGCATTTGTTAAAAAAAAAGAAAAGAAAAAGCTAATCTCTTAGTTTTGTTATTATTTTATTATTTCAGAGATTGCAAGCTAAAGTTATAAAATTAGTTGATGTGTCTTACGGAGGAGAAAATGGTTTTAATCAAGCTATTGAATTAGCAGCGGAATCTTTGCAAAATGTTAAATTTATTCAAGAGAAAAAACTTATTGGTAAGATTATAATCATTTATATTTTTCTTCTATTGTATAATGTATTATATATTTTACCTATTGTAATCTATTTTTAATTGTTGTTATTAGGTCGTTATTTTGATGAAATTTCTCAAGATACTGGAAAATATTGTTTTGGTGTAGAAGATACATTAAAAGCTTTGGAATTAGGTAGTGTAGAAACGTTAATTTGTTGGGAGAATTTAGATATTCAACGATACGTTTTAAAAAATCATACAAATGCAGAAGAGAAAATATTACATTTGACTCCTGAACAGGAAAAAGACAAAACTCATTTTACTGATAAAGAGGTATAGTTAAAGTCGTCCTTTGCGTTTAATTATAATATGCGTATATAATATTAAAAAAAAAAAAAAAAGATGTAACGATTAAATATATAATTTGTAGAGCGGAGTAGAACTTGAATTGGTGGAGTGTCAACCACTTCTTGAATGGCTTGCGAATCACTATAAGAATTATGGTGCCACCTTGGAAATTATTACAGACAAGTCGCAGGAAGGTTCACAATTTGTCAGAGGGTTCGGTGGAATTGGAGGTAAGTTTTTTTTTTGGTTCTTCTTTTTGTACATATTAATAAATATGTTAATCTTTATTTTATTTTATTTTTTTTTTGAAGCAATTTATGTGTTTATATAAATTGTGGAAAATTATTTGTATTACTAATATTTCGTGGCTTCATATCTTATTTTTTAACATAAATATAAAAAGATAGTTTTGTGTGTACATATAAACAAATGATAACTAATATTTATTTTGAATGTGTTAATAGTATTTTTAAACACTATAATTATATTAACATTATTGGATAAGGTGTATTAATTAATTAGAATTTATTAACAAATGGTATATTAAATATTTAAATATTCTTTTTTTTTCTTCTAAAAAAAAGTTAACTTAAATTTTTTGATAAAAAACATGTGTTTTAATATCACTGTCAACACAAATTTAAAAGAAATGACAAGGTAATGAAATGAGGTGCATTAATGTTAATTATAGAGTATATGTTCGTATATAGGAATCCTCCGCTACAAAGTTGACTTCCAGTCACTGCAGGCCGATGAGCCTCTTGATGATGTTGACCTCGATGATTACTAATTTCATCCATGAGATATTCAAAGTCAACCAGGTAGCTGTTTCTCTGTCTTGAGTGCATTCATGTACACTTTGTGTATTATAGATTATTATTTAGAAAACTGGACAAATTTATCAAAATGTTAGTGTTAATCGGATGCATATTTTAAATTGTATGTTTTGTTTTTCTTATATTATATACTTATAAATTGAGGGGTTAATACCTATTTCTTAATACTTGTTATATATCCTATTTATAATAATTGTCATTAATTAAAAAATCATTTTTATTGATATTTAAAAAGTATTAAAAAGTAAGTATTAAAAAGATATTAAAAAGATATTAAAAAGATAATATTATAAAGTTATTAAAAAGTATTTAAAAAGATTTATCTAAATTATTCTTTTTTTCATAACTATATAATATTGATGTTAACAAAGATTAAAACTAACTTGAATTATTTTTCTAATATAATCATGTTAGATTAATTCAAATATATGTGCAGTTTTATGTTCATTATAACTCTGTACATATAATAAACTAAGAAAAGTACGACATTCATATTGCATGCCCCTAATTTTGATATAAGTAAATTTGTCCAGAATGTTTACAATTATTTTGATTGAGTTTCTCACTAAATAGTTTAGTTTTGATTCTTCTGTACAAAAGTAGTACATAGATGTCTCTTGCAATGATTTTGAATGTGGATAGTGAAATCATTAAACACACAAAATTCAGAGATCAAAATTTGCATTCAGAGATATGTTATTGAATTTGAAAGATGCTTTTTTTGCCTAATGGTTTTTCTTCAATAACAAGGTGAATAGAAATGTAAAATAGGGACTAATATAATCTTTTACAAAACATTCTGAATTTAGACCATTACATTTGTATCACATTAAATATTAGCAAATAATTAAACACGTAGTATGTGGTACAGTTTTTTCATTCATTCTTATTCATTTTTGATATTCTCATTAACTTTTTGATGAGAATTTGAGTAATGAAAAAGATTTAGATATTTTATTATTGTATATTAGAAGACTGTTTTTCCAATATGGAAATCTGTATTTGTTTTGTATCGTTCAAAAGTTCTATTTGTTAGTGATTCATATTTGTTTTATATAGTTTAAATTAAATAATAATCATAAAATAAAGTAGGTCAAAGTATAATATGTAGGAATATTGTTTAAAATAAATGCATTATTTATTTACATATTATCAAATGACCATGATGATGTTTTAAAATGTTTAATTTTTCTATGTTGCACATGTAGAAAGAATTATAACACACGAGGAAACAGATTCATCAATATTATTTAAAAAAAAAAAAAACAAGAAAAAAAATACAACTATTTTTTAGATGAATGTGCATGTGTTTATTCAGAGTATTTAAAACTCGTATTGTAGAAAAGATGTAATGGTTTTCAAATTGATAAGATTCTATTAATTCTAATTCATTTTTATCATATTAAATATTTATGTATGTAAGTATACACCACAAAGTTAAAGCTATATGAGAACTAACTAGAATGATGTTAAAAACGGTGATTGCAAGTTTAGTCAAATTATTTCACTATTACAAAACATATGTAATTTGTTAGATAAAGAATATATTAATAGTATTATTTCTATAGATTATAAATGAAGTCTTTTTGTTGTGTGGCTACACAAGAACAAAAAAAGAAAATCGTTTTTAAAATGAACGTAGTTTTAATTTCTAATATATAACAACTGCACTGCATAGATATATTTTTTGAATGGATTTATAAAGAAAGAATTTAATGCATCTTTACAGTACAAAAAAAGAATGTCTGCGATATCACGAAGTTACAATCTAGATATTGGCTTTCATTATAATAAAAAAGTCAATATTAAAGAATTTAAGAAAATCCGAGATTGGATTAAAATAATATTTATGCTATAGTATAATAATTCTCAAATAATTCTCAAATAATTCAATATAGTAGCTATAATCTTGTAATTGTTTCAATTTCTTAATCTGTAAGATACACAAAGTGTAAAACCATTTTAATGCTTGTTTACACTTTTTATTGTACTAAAGAAAGCCTGTTTTAATAACGCGGTATGAATTCATAAAAAAAAAAGCTGTTCTCTAACTAAAGTCTGATTATTCAAATGAAAATTTCGTTAACTCACATGAATAATGAATAATATACTAAGAACTTTACTAATAATTATTATCTCTTTGTTACCCTTTATGGGAACAACTATTGTAATTGTACTAATAATTATTAATTACTGGTTTTCTTACAATATATGTAGTCTAGATTTAAAATGCATCCTTGGCATTTTTTATAAAAAAAAAAAAAAAAAAAACGAAGCCAGTGACTATCACAACAGTGTGTAAGTCACTTGTTTTAAATAAATAAAGGTTTTATATATATTCTCGTTGAGATATGAAGCTTCTTTGTTAATATTATCATCCTATATTTAAGAATGTTGTGTAAATCTATTTTACATTCTAAGTCTTTTTAGCAATCACCATAACTTTATAACAAAATAAAACAAGTTCTAATTTTTTATTTAACTTAATTATTATATTTTTATAAATGTGAGAAAAGAGAGTTGCATTATTAGTAAACCGGTGGCAAATTTTACATTAGATATAGATATTCTCTATTTTAAAGCACACTCAGAAATATTCAAACAAATTTGATTTTTTTTTATTTATAACACCTTTTTTCTTATTTTATATTTTTACATCATATTCCTTTAGAAAAATATGTGGAATATATATTTGTTATTTTTTTTTTTATTTTATTTCATTTAAACAATGTTGCTTTTGCACTATGTTACTATAATTACTATATTTGATGCTTAATATATTCAAAATGTTAGTTTTATACTTAATATTATAATATATTTGTGTGCTCGATTGATTTTATTTTTATATCTTGCACAGTATATATTTTAGAAATTTCAAATTATATATATATATATATTTTCCAAATTACGTTAAAGTTTAATTTTCATCGTATTTATTTTATTTCACATTTGTTGTATTTATTTATCAAAAAATATACATTATACTTTTTCTGGCATTCCTATCACAAATAGTAAGATATACGAATATACACAATGAATCGATTATTAAGTAAAGTGCATAAATGAAAATTATTAAGTATCGCTTGTTGCATGCTACGCTATAAACAATTATAGATTAAATCCATTGCTAAAGTAACACAATAACAGTATTATAGTTTTATCTAATAGATTTTAATAGCTTTTATTTATTTATTTTTTTTAATTTATTGCGTTCAAATTGCTTGAATTAATAAAGTATGAGCTATGGCATTGTTTTAACAAATGTATTAAATTATAGGATAAATATAATTTGTTTTCTTTTTTTTTTTTATATTATTGAAGTTATTTATATTAAACTAATATTATGATTTATGATGTCACGTTTACTCTTTAATAATATTTATTTAATATAAATTTTTATATTCATGTTAATACTTTGGCAATGGAAATAAATTATAAATAATTGTAACATTCTCACAATGCTTAACAGAGCTCCTATTTTTGAGAAGTACTAATTAAAGTCTTGTTTCTGTTAGCTCGCATACTGGGAAAGGTACAGTACTTGCTTTTTATTAAGACTAGTAACAAGAAAAAAAAAAAAGTTAAATAATTCTTTATTTTTCTAATATTTTAGAATGTTTGGTTTTTTTGTCGATATTTTAGAAGATTTATTTTTGTAATATTTTAGAATGTTATACATTGTTTGCAGGAAATGTTTGGTATTATTACAATATAGAAGTATTTTATTTATAGATCATGAAGTAGATAAATATTTTCATTTTTTTTCTTATAAATATAAAAATAATTAACTTATTGTAGAAATCCCTTTTAGCAGCTATTAGAAGTAATGGAGCAATAGTTAATTAATTGCCAATTTACAATATAAATTTGATATTTATCCATTCGAATAATAATTTATTATTGAATAAAAAAAAACAATCCATTACACTATGTATAACATTCACATAAAGTAATACTTTACAATTGTTAATCTATATAATTATTGTTCATGCATTCAATATTTTAACTTTTACAAAATATTTATTTTACATATCATAAAAATAAGTAGATAAATTTAATATATATGTATACATATATAATTTTGTTTTCTTTTTATGTTAATGGTCTTAAATTATTATTAAAAAAAAAAAAAAACAGTGTTTTTTTAATGTGAATATTTCTTTTTGATATCAAATGGAATTAAATGTATTATAAAAATAAAAAATAAAACTTACAAAAGCACTGTTTTATTACTAACAACATCATAAACTTGAGTTAAAATAATAATAATTTGTTATTTTTAACAGATATTTATATATGAACTAATATTCAATGTATTATTTATTTAATAATAAGCATTCATATGTTGTTTTGCAGGTATTCTACGTTACAAAGTGGACTTTCAGAATTTGCAGCTGGAAGAAAATGAAATTGATAATTTCGATCTGGATGACTATTAAATCCCTGATTTGACAAAAACACGATCCTCTTAGCTTTGAAATGGAAAATATTACGTTCCTCTTTGCATTATATTTCAAGAAAAGTATGCAAAGAAGCACGTTGCAAAATAATTATTTGATGTGGTACATAGGGTATCATCAGGAAATTATTGTGAACATCAAGCAGCTAGCAATTTTACACAGGGGACAGTGCGGAAAAATGGTGCGTTGGTAACATGGTTCATACCTGTTAAAAACAACAAAGGCAACTCGAAGACTGTGACACTTAATTAAGCCAGCTTGATATCTGCCTACTCCACACATTACCTACTATGTTCTTTGATTATTCACATGGATTTATTTAATTACTTGCTCAAACAACAACGGTACCATGTAGAATTGTTACAGCAATTATATGATTTGAGATATATCATTTTCTATCACATCGATGTTTATCATCTTGTCATCGTGCTATTAAAAAAAAAAAAAAAAAAAAAAAAAAAAAAAAAAAAAAAAAAAACAAAAAAAAACAAAAAAAACCAAATGATTATCAGATGTTCATAAATACAGTTCTAGCGTAATTTTTTGTTCATATACGATCATAGCTGAGCTGTAATAAAATGATTGTCATAAACTTAAATGTGCGTATCGTGCATTCTATACCAATTGCAAAATTCATATGAATAATAAAAAAAAAAGCTCTGTACATAATACATAAATTTTTAATGGCACAGTTGCCTTAGGAGAAACAAAATCTTTCCGTCTTAATGAGTGATACACATACAAATGTAAGGAACAGTTTCTTAACAAAAAATTGATATTGCTTTATTGCTGGCTCGCGATTATTAGATTTTGTACACCCAAGAGACTGTACATAACAAATGCTTTATAAGCGTATCAATTTAATCTCTTAATTGTTGAAGAGGTACACCTCGATGGTAAGAATAACAGTTACTAAAGATATTACAAAATATTATAATTAAATTTTTAATTTCTCTTGCTTATTTGTACAATGCCTTTGTAATAAACAGTACTGTAAATGTATAAATGTGAAGAGAATGCAATGTGCGATGTTGGCAATATGTATCCTTTATATAAAAAAAAAAAAAAAAGAAAGAAAGAAAAAATATTATAAGAAATATTTTTTTTTTAATGTTGTAAAATTTTCGATAAACATGATGACTCTGTTCATATTATAATTTCATTTGCATTACAATTAATTCTGTGCAAGGCATATATATATCCTAAAGTACTATTTTACGATGAGCAAGATTAATAAAAAAAATTAAAAAGTATGATTTTTGCTGTCGTGTACAACGAATTTTTAATAGATTAACAAAAAAAAAGAAGTAAATGTTATAATTCAGTCTTTTATTTTTTTATTTTTTAAATTGAAATTGAAATGAAAGAAATTCTTGAATGTTTCAAATTAATAAATCCTATAAAATACTATATCAAAGATTTTAAAAAGAGCCCGTGATTTAAATGTATCTTGAATAAAAATATAATTAATATTTTTGAACACAACAAATACTTTGTGTTGTTTGTAGGTGTCTTTAATAATATTACGCTTATTCATTATTTTCTTATTTTTTTTTTTTTTTAAAGAAAATTTTTAGATTAATTTTGTCTTCAACATTTTTAAATGTTATCAATTATTCGTTGAATAATCATTGAAATATTGTAGAGAAAATATTACATTACGAAATATATACAAACATGTATATATATGTATGAAATTTTTTAATTAGGCATCATTTAATTCTGAAACAGATGAATTGAAAATTATAGTCATTAAAAATTCATAAACATTAGAATCATTTTGATGAAAATGAAGATATTTACACTGCCGAATAGAAAATGACGCAATAAGGTATCATCACCGAGCACAATATCTATTATTAAAATAAGTTTTTATAATTTGAAACTGTTCGTTGTTTACATTACTATTAGCTCATAAAAAAAATACATTTAGAAGTTCATAGATTATTTTCAAACTATTTTAATATTACTACAAATGTATATCTTACACGATCAACGACCAATTAACATTTAAAACGAATGAACAAATGTAATATCTCAATCATCTCATGATTTATTATCTTTCATTCGATAATAAATTTCCGTTCGATAAACGTTTCATAATATTCACGAAAAAAAAAAAACAAAAGAAAAGAAAGACCAATAGACTTAATTTTTAATTTTGTATACACATTATATTTATGCAGAGAAGATTCTTTCGTATTAGTACGTACGAGTTATAGCCTATCACGAGGAGTCAAGGAGCATACTTTTATATATTCATTCAAACAATTCACCATTAGGTAATATTCCAAAATGAAACATCAAATTTTTTAAAGAAAAATATATTTGTTTGATAATATGCAATAAATGAGGAAAAGTATTCATTTAAGAATTTAAATAGAAAATATTGGCGCGCAATATGGCAGCTGATATTTGATTGGTTACTAATTGAATCCTGCGGTAGTCAGGTGACCATCTTCAAATGATAATACGATATAGTATATTCATTTAACGTTATATTACTGTGATTAATAAATATATTTGATTAAAAAAAAAAAAAAAAAGAAAAAAATGAATAAAGAAAAATGTTTGTGTGAAATGATTTAGGTGTGCCACGAATAATAATGTAAATTGAATATATGTATATATATATAAACAATTACAAAAGAAGAACGATTTTAAAAATGTACAAATAATTCTTATATCAAAGAGTTTGCACATTATGTAGGTATGATGTTGCTATGTACGGATGCTCTCAATATATCATTACATTCCTCGAGTTTTCAAATAAATATATAATATTATTCATATACATTTTTATTATATATATATATATATANTATATATATATATATATATTATTTGTTTAAACAAACGAATAATTCTTTTAGTCAAATTTTGATGTCTCAACCAGGCCCCAAAGTCTTGTGTGTTCCACTGTCAGCTGTTTTCATTTTTAAAAGGTAAGTTAAATCTTGAAATGTTTATTATTATTTGTACCATTAACAATTCGTAATTTCCATTCGTAAATAAATAATCAATTAACAATTATTTTACATTTCAACTTATTGTTTATTACTTATATTCCTAAGAATTGATTATTTGAAGATGAAGATATAAAATATACAGAGTATTTCAAAAGTTTTACTTTACCGAATTTGAAGATTATTTATTTTGTTTTAAATAGAAACAACACAGTATTAAAAAAATAATGAAAACTATGCAGAGTTAAGAGAATTCGTACCTTTGGACATTTTATTAAAATATACATTTCATCCAAAATACAAAAGGAAAAGATGTATTTACAGTTGTCCGTCGAACGTTATACATAAGAATGATACTAGTAACAACGCCAATATTAGCAATAATAGTAAGAGATATAATCGTTTAATAACAATATATTTACTGTTTCATTAATATATATACTATATCAATGAACAGCGGCAGATCGATGAATTGAGAGTTTGATATACTCTAATATGAAATCGTTTAATTTTTTTTTTTTTATGTTAAACGATTCTTAATTTATTAACAGTACTATATATTCTCTCTCTAATACAATTGGCCATTTTAACCATTCTTCTTCTTCTTCTTCTTCTTAGTCGAACCATTTGACGGACTAAGAAATGACAATTGATACCACATGAATTTTACAGATATTGACTCAGCTATCGTAAACGAACAATGTTGGAAATAAGAAAACGTGTTGTATAATATATTCGAGAACTATCAATAATGAAATATACAATAAATAAATCATTATATAAGATTGTTAATAAAAATTGTGATAGAGCGCAATTGATAATTCGTGATTTGTAATTTAATTCTAGATGACAAAATGTTCATTATTGTATTTCAAAATATTTGATAATAATAACATGCATTTTTTTTTTTTGACTGCATTTTACATACTTATGAATATAGATTTCCATTATTATTTTGTTTCTTTTTTTTTGTTTTGTTTTTATTTAAGAAGTTAGAGCTAACAACAAGTATTTAGATAAAATAATTTTTATCACTATGTCATATACTGTATTTTCTTTCTTAATGATGATATTGTCTTATTTTTCTGGATTTTGTTAAACACCCTTTTAAACTTTGCTTTGAAACACGAAGTTTCAATTAAATTCATAAATCTAACATCTTTTTTTTTTATTTTTCTAAAAGCATTTAACAATTATTTAATATATATTTTTATTTCTTTTTTTTTACGTGAACAATACCAGTTTATTATTTACTTGCCGAAATTTCGTAAAATCATGTAAGTAAATTGATCTAAATATTTTTGTTTGTTTATCTAAGAGAATTATTTTTTCAAATATTTAAAAATATTTTCATGTATATATGAGTATGTATATATATATGTGTTTGTGTGTGATTCTGGTATTGTACTTTTTGACATAACAGCAATCGAAATTTAATTTTGGTTGTTTTTGTTGCATTAATACATATCTCTTTTTTAAAAATACTTCTTTAACTATTTGTATCTTTATCTTGATTAATAATATGTATATATTATTTATATTAATTAGAAAATCATATAATAATAAATTCTGCAAAGATTTCTATAATAATATTTATAAAGATCTTGATATGTTATGAATCAAGCATTATTATTATTATTATTCAATGAAATTTATATTTGAATTTGAAGATCAAAAATGCATCATTCTTCCTTTTTCGTAAAAATATATTGACACTAGAATTCTCATAAGCAGTAACTATATGCAAGGCACTATTAAGGCCTACTTCTCATCTAAATAAAAAAAAAGAAAATAAAATTCTTCCATTTTAATAATGAGTATAGAGCATTATATAACTAATAATTTAGTACCCTTTTCTTTTGAAAGAAAAACAAAAAGAAAAAAAAAAGATCATTATGTGCAACAGTGAATAAATATGATTATAATATTTCTTTAATATCCATTCTGTTGTCCGTTTACTGCTTTAGTCGTAATTTATATCTAATTATGAATAATACTATATCAATTTTTGAAAATTGCAATTTTTGTTGCTAACGAATTATACAATTTTGTTTCTTTTTAAATGTATATCGTGTGTTAATTTAAAAATAATTTCTTTATTTATAATTTTTTTTCTTTTTTCTTTTTACTACGAATTGCAACATTAACTTATTATTTTGTTAAAATAAATACCAAAATTCGAAATATAAAACTTTGTGACTAATCCTTATATAAAACGTTAATGCGAATAACAATAATTACATTTTTATAATAATCAAAATTGGCAAATATTAATTTCTGATTATTAGCCAATCTTATAAAGTGTTACTAGCATTCCACGCCCTATTATTACTTGTATGCAAGTACAATACAAAGGCAGTAATTTTTGGAATGTTAACAATACTTTGTAAACTTAGCTAAAACTTAAATATGAACATATTCAATGATGTTTTTCTATTGCAAAAATGTTATAAATAACATACAATAATAATTTATTATAATTTCGATGAAACATATAATATGCCTTTCGTTTTTCATTTTCAAATAAAATTGCCGAAATATTTATATATACAATATAAATAAAAAAAAAAAAAAAAAAAAACTTTATCAAAACGAAATAATCAATCAGCCAATTTTTCATGGTCTGTAAAATATCTTTCTTTCTTTTCTTTTCTTTTCTTCTTTTTTTACTTTTATTTTTTTTTTTAAATATTCCATTCATTATTCAATCTCATTTTTATGATATGTTTGATCACAGTTATGTGCACATAATATTATAACATAATAATATAATAATACAAAATGATTAATTAGTGCTATTGGGATACTAAATATCTTTACAATATTTGAGTCGAAAATATTAGGACCTAGACGAAGGGTTTGCATGATAAATAAAAGATTATTCTATAATATCCTACCCCATTGTCTCAATATAAGATACAGGCATGTGTGCGATTACAAGCAAAAAGATTCAATACAAGCACATTATAATAGATGCACGTGTTTTCATGATGTTTTTATAAATTTACTATTTTTCTTCTTAAATGTTTTCATTTTAAATTAAAGCTATGTGTGTGTGTACACAATGTATGCTAGAATAAACAAATTTAATGTCTTATCAGCTATTTGATTAAGACATTTAT